CTGTACACGAAGGTGGCTAATTGTAGACAACCATTATATCAAAATAATGGCTATTTCCGCGGCTTTGTTCGCGTGATCATGATAAAAAGTGGCCTATGCCTTTCCCTAATATGTAAATTTTATAATGATTGTTTGTTTTAGAGCAGAACAAATAAAGTATTAAAATCATTTATATATTTCTTTTTTTATTAAGAAGGAATGAGTGAGCCTATGCCGTGTGCCACCCCTTCCTTTACCGTAGATGTCGTAAGAGGCGACTAAGGGAACTTAATGGTCGATGGATGGGCAGCAGCATCTTTCTTAAAATGTCACCAAGACCTAACTGTGGTTGCCAACCCGTCTGCCAAGCGTGACAACTATTACTTAATTGTTATTAATACAGAACCGACTTAATAATAATAATATATACTTTATTATTAAGACTACAATTTGGTCCATTTTGTTAGTAACAATTTTCTTACAAAAAATTAAAATTAGTAATTTTTTTTTTCTAAAAGGATATATTTACAGTTTAGTTCTACAAAATTTTATCAAAATCGGATCAGTAGTTTAGTTTTGAAGTCAATTCAATTGGTTTTGCTAAAATTGAAGTTGGTTTATTTTATGGAACACGATCTTATAGTATTAGTTTAAAATACCATTGAGATTAATTTGATTTGTTATTAATGTTTTCTGTCACAATGATTTAACATCCATCCGATTTTTCAACCGACTTCAAAAAGATAGTATAATTTGATAGTATTTTTATGTTTGTTACCTCATAACTTCATCAATTATGAACCGATTTGGAAAACTGTTTTTTTATCTGAAAGGATATGCTTATAGATTAGTCCAACAGATATTTTATCAAAATCGATTTCACAATTTTTAAATTAAAATAATTAGGTTTAGCGTAATTAAAGTCGATACTTTAGATTATTTCATCACATTTTGTAGATTGGTAATTGCATACATATGTATAACTGACCTGCCCAATTAGTATTGTGATATTGAAATAACGTTAAAAAAAGGAACGTTTCTGTGTCAATGTATCGATGATATTTTTTTAATGTAGGTCACAATATATTTCATTTTCTTTTCAAGTCATTAAATAATCGTTCAAAGCATGTAACATATTGATACTAGTGATAAAAATGAATAAGTAATTACATTTGATAATTATTTAGTATATTTACTAGGAGCCCTGAGGAATTTGTTAATCCGGCCATTGTGTTTACTACGATTTCGAGGTTAAAAAGAAATATCACATTGTTGTTCTTATCTTAAATACTGGACAAACTGAACGTGATTTAAAGTAGGTGTACAGGAATTAATACGACGTATTTATTTCTTGAAGAAAAAAGCAGATAAGAAAGATAAGAGTAAGTTTGAAAGGATCGTTGGCGAGAGAGCCTACGTTGTTAAATATTATGCTCAATAGGCCAAGAAAGTACGATTTCGGGCAGTTAAGCTTCAAATCCACAAGCCCTTTGAAAGTGTACTGGCATGTTGAATTATAATTTATCTATTTTTAAGATAGATAAATAGATAAACACTTCTGTTTGTGTTTGAAAACTGTATTTTGCAAAGGATAAATATACCTATGTATGTGGTAATATAATTACATATACAGAAAGTATGTTATTTTACGGGTAGTTTAGTTGTATTATTTTAGTTACCAATCTGCCTGTCAAGCATGGCAACTACCGGCAAAACCCCCTAATAGGGGGAGGCCTATGTTCAGCAGTGGACAGTTAACGGTTGGTGTGCTGATAATGATGATGATATATATAATAAGAAAAAGCAATTAATTAAAATAACAAAATTTAATTAATATAGAAGTGGCAATCATCGATATTTATTAATCTACTTCCATAAAATAAAACTAAATCATTATATTGAATGATTAAGATACTAAATGTCTAATGAACTAAAAATATTAATAGAATTTAAACTAATTTATGTTTAATTATTTTATAATATTACAGTCAATAGGTTGGTAGTTAACAGTACTTAAAAATTTTATTTCGCAAATAAAAAAAAAATTGCAGTTATAATCCTATCGATTGTAAAAATAATCGGTTTAGAACTGACAGTAATACCGCACGTCATAAAAAGGCTTGAAAAATTAAATATTTTTTTTACTGAATAAGTTGGTAACAAACGCATCGTATTTTTTAGTAAATTATTTGTAAATAGGGTTTTGATATATCATAACACTGATCTTTTGAATGTTGAACTTAAATCGTTTATATTCATATTTTTAAAATCAACATTAATATTTTTAAAATTAAATACATTCTTGTAGTCATTACACACAAAAAACTTGATATCGATTTTCGAAAGAGTAGTCTTTTGAATGACGATTTACTCGGCTATCAATCTTAGACCTCCGATTTGATTCTATACAAAAAATGAACATTTTTGTCCAAAATCAGAAATCTTACTTGAAAACTTGTTAAAATAATGAAAAACATTATTTTTTAGTTGTGTCTAATGATTTTGTATTGTCATATAACAAAATTAATATAAGTTAGAAGAGAAATGAAAAGACCACCCCAAAATAGCAATAATACATAAACAAATATTTTTTTTTTTAACTAGAACGCAGAGAATAAGAGGGAGATACGAAGCTAATAATGCGAGTGAAAGGGATACGAGATAAATGCAGCGTTATGGGTGGTCGAAGTGTTTTTTCTTTGCAATTTATGTATATGTCAGCGCTGCTCAGAAATAGTCAGTGAGTGGGGGAAACTAAATTGCATCTAAACATTGCTCACTGACCCGTAGAACGTGTGATAAATGTAGAATAAAAATCATTAGTAAACCTGCAGTTTAGGCACAGTTTTAGCTGTACATATCTCCCTAAGTTGCTATACCTAATAAAGTGCAACGTCTTACATTACAAATCTATTTTGTAATGTAAGATTTTGTATCATAACATGTAATGCAACTATAGTAATAAATACATATGGGGGTAGTAATAAATAAATACAGTTGGGTCTGTGACCCCTTAACACAGGTTTATATTAACCTATTTAGGAGCCCAGTTCTAAAACCATAACTACTGTACCCTTATAAAACTATAACATTAATATTAGTTAAGAAACAACAGTTAGGTTTTTTACGAATAAATCTCATTTTATATTGGAAATAGAATTAACAATATCTATAACGGAATCTCATAAAATTTCCAAATTGGCAAAACATGTTAGAACATAATTAAAATACCCAGTATGTATCTACTGCACATACACGTTTATGCAAATAAATTTATCTTTATCCTCTATATATCTGTATGCCGTGTGGTCCTAGCATAAAATAGGCCATCCCTTACTTTCCAGTGGGTATCATAAAAGGCGACTAAGGTAGGGCGAGAGATGAGTAGCAGCATCCCCGTTAAAACATTTTTAAAAGCCTAACTGCGGTTGCCAATCCGCCTGCGAAGCGTGGCGACTACGGGAAAAACTCCCTAAAGGGGAAGACTTATGTTTAGCAGTAAACAATTAATATGATGCTATATAATATGATGATAATTTATGATAATGAATGATTAAATAAAAACGGGGTTAAACTTTATTTAATAAAAAAAAAATTAATTAACAATTCAACAAAGATAAGCAAAGATATACCCTGCCTCTTGATTCTGGATACAATAGTAGATTAATACATTCCCTTTTTGAGATAGACCCGTGCTCAATTGGATAATAATGGGTTGTTATGGTGTGTGTTTATGGCTATGTATATATGCATATATAGTACAGTATTATATATATGCTATTTATATTCACTCGATATAAAACGAGTACTATATTGATATAGCGCAGTTTGGACTCTAGCATGAGTCTAGAACATAAAAAGCCGGCTAAAAACAGAAGTGGGACACCTTGTATGAATTACGACGTTCGCACGCTATAACGCAGGTCGCGTTCACACTACAGACTTCATAGAAAAATTCTTGTTTTTTTTTTTATGGTGTCACCTATACAAATGGATATACACCTATGCAAGTATATATGCAAGTGGATAATGAATTCACTATTAGGAGTTTATTATTTTAAACTAATAGTGAGCTAAACATGAACCCGTACACAAAATATCCTATATGCTAAGTTAAGATATGCCCTACTCGTGTACCGCATTTCATTCAATTCCGTTAAGTAGTTTTTGCATGAAAGAGTAACATACGTAAGTATCCACCTATCCATCCATCGTTACAATGTCATAATTAAACTCAATTGTACATTTCACGTGAATACCGTGTTTCTTTTATACTGTTACGAACTGTTGCCCGCAGCTATGCACCAATGGTGTCGTGTTTCCTCTTTAAATTGAAATTCTCGAAAATCCTTTCTTAGAAAAAGCTTACGATATAACTAAACCTATGTTCCAACTTTTAGCTTTCTGTATTGTTTTATATGTATAATATATAGATGTTTTAACTATGTATCGACTCATTAAGGGTTTAATATCCGTTAATTAATACCATACTAACATTATCTCCAAATTTATTTAAGGCATGTACCAAATAAATTTTTATTATTGTAGAAAATATCTAATATAAATCTTTTCATGTTCTTTGTCTCCAAGACTGTCTTTTTTACTTTATTTGTACTATTAGAATCCTCTCATAACTATATTGTTTTCAACTTTCCTTAATTTCATTCTTTAAAAAGAAAACAGCACACATTTAAAATATTCATAAATACTCAATATTTATAATAATAGAATTTTCATAATTGCTCACTATATAAAATTATTACTATCGTGTCCTTTCAAGTCACTTGTACCGTAAAAGACATATAAGGATACAGATTTACAACAGAAAGTTTGGAAAGTCGCAAACATTCAAGAATGCAATGGGGCGTAAACACGGGAAGCTCCCGTGGCGGTGTCGTTGAAACTTCCATTCGGCCGTCGCGTCGCGTGTTATATCAGTTATTATGAATGCGGCTTAAGCCTTAAGGTTATGATTATAGGATCGGGCAACGCGGTAAAGTCGCGCGGCAGACGCGGACGAGCCGGTGGCCCGTACAGTTGGCAAACTGTATTGTATAATATAAAGAACATCCCTAGTGAATACTGACCACAAAGTACGCCAATAGAAGAACTGCGATAGTAAAATTATTTTAAAATTAGAATACGGAACTTTATGAGCGTGTGACATGCAGCCTTGATAGTGATGGGAGTATAGGTATTGTTTATTATACGAATTGTTTTCATATTTCATATGAACTGTATGTGTCACATTTATTTTAATTTATGAGCCTATATTATTGATTTATAGATGCTGCAATAGTATTATATAAATAAAATATTCACTTCAACATTCGAAGTATTCACATTTTAACCAATAATAGCACTATTTAGCTCTAGTTTGATTCTTATTTTTTTTTTATTATTTTCACGATTGAAGAATTTTTTTTTTATTTTATATGTATTAAAATAATTGAATATTTATTGTAAGCACATTTATGATTGATAACAATTTAAATAGATATATAATAAATGTTTCACATCATATTTAAATTTTTTGAAATGCTATAGGTATGTGTATATATATTTATTTGTTAGTCAACGTTATGTGAATATAATAAGTGTAAGATAAAATATAATTAAATATGAAATTATAAAACGAGAAGTCGGTAAAAATAATAGAAACTTTAAATTTTGTTAGACATTGACAACCCGTCCTGGCTTCGCAAGGGCGTACATAAAAATCTCCTTGGTATTTTCTTTTTCACTCCTTCATTCGCTTTTTATAGAGATTTTGTAACCCAAATGTTTTACATTTTCCACACGATTTTTCAAACGTTTTATTTTAACTGTTCTGAAATTAGTTTAAGGTACTATTACAGTGGTGGTCAGGTGGCTTAGTATAGTGTATTATTTTGAATTTTCGTTCCTACTTTTGCATTGTTTTTTTTTTCTCAGTCATCATTAAATTATAGAGTAGAGAGAGTACACTTTAGAAATGGCAACTAATAAATAGTATCATGGGCGACACAGTATACTCTGTTATGTACATTGGACAGTTGCTACTTTCCATCAAGTAGATCATCAGCTTGTTTGGCTTTCAGAATTGAAAAGTGGTCGCTATTATAGAGTGTTATTTTGTAACCATATGGCTTTGCCATAATTCTCCCATAATTAAGATTCATAGTAAAAACGTATAGGTTGTTATTGGTAATAGGTTCTAACAGCCTCACTTCTAGCAATATACCAGATTATATATATCAAGTTGACCTCCACGCAGCACCCCTTGGAAAACATCGAGGTTAATTCTGGTTGAACTCGTCACGATGGGCTAGCTGAGATGTTTTCATTTTCACCTTTTATCACTCATTGCGTATACTGATAGCGCAAGCGGGGTTATCATTCCATATTCACCCAATTTAAAAAAATTATACTAATATATAAAATAGAAGAGTTTGTTTGTTTGAACGTGCTAATCTCTGAAACCACCGATAGGATTTGTACTATTATTTTTACATTTGATTGTTATTTTTTGTATGTTATTTTCTTCATTCAATTTGACATCACCACATCGGCACCAGGTGAAGACGCGATGTACTTACATCTAGTCTTATGTACATAAACATGTACATAAGACTAGATGTAAGTACATCGCGTCTTTTCAATTCAGAATGGCAAACAAGTTGATGGCCTACTTGATAGAAAGTAGCAACTGTCCAATGTACATGACAGAGTATACTGTGTCACCCATGATACCATTTATGAGTTACAATTTCTAATGACTAATAAAAAAAAAACAATGCAAAACTGCGAATGAAAATTCAAATTAATACCAAGCCACCTGACTACCATTGTACATATTTGGCTTGTAAAGAAGTCTACTCGCCATGGAGTTCATCCTCATGTCCTACAGCCTCAATGGTCGCGTACTGCGCGGATTCAGAGATGTTTCCTCCCACGAACACTCAGGTTGTGGAATTAGCTCCCTGCCGAGGTTTTCCCAAGAGACTACAGCATGGGGTTCTTTAAAAGGGGGGTAAATAGGTTTCTTCAGGGTCGGCAACACACGCGTAATGCCTCTAGTATTGCAGGTGTTCATAGGCTACAGTAACCACTTACCATCAGGTGGGCCGTATGCTTGTTTGCCACCTCAGTGATATAAAAAAAAGAGTAAAGATAATTTCTATTATTTTTTTTCCTATTCAGAAACGATATTGATTGTTTCACAAAAAAAAACCGACTTTAAACGTTTTCATTTCATTTCCGTGAATTTCCGTGAACATTTCCGTGAGTTTAAAGTGAGAGTGTTTTACATTAACCCGTCATTGAAATTACAGTAATATTAATTAGTTATATAATTACAAGTATTATTATAATATCGCCTTTATTTAGGCTCTTTCTAGAAACAGAAGGTTCTCGATTTATCGGTAGAATTTTGTGTATATTTTACCTCATATCTGTACTCGTTCGTAACCGATTTTATTAATTCTTTTTACAATTGTTTGAGCTTACTCCTGAAGTCGTGAGATAGCATTCAAGTTTGGAATTTATTGAAGTAATATAGATTTACTCTCTTCATAAAAACGTCAAACATCTCATGTACCCATTTTAGCTATTGAAATGTTTTGTCTTTTTTTGTGCTAAATTCTCAGTTTGAATGAAACCGACAAGACAGTGTAATTGTTAAAGTAGGTTTGTAAATGGTAGTAATTTTTTTTTTATAAATAAGGGGGTAATTTTGTAAATATTGAAGTTCCCGTTAGCTTCGTGTATTTCTTAACTAAGGTCTAATACTTTGAAAAAGGTTCTCTTTTGTAGCGTTTTGTTGGTTTTAAAATCACGCCAAGTAAGTTTTTTTTTATACAACTTAGAATGACAAACAAGCTGACGGCCCACCTGATGTAAAGTGGTAACCGTCGCCTATAGACATGGGTAGTACCATGGACATAACAGAGTATACTGTTTCGCCCATGATACCCCCCATGCGTTGCCATTCCTGAAGACTCAGGTGTTATTCTTCTGTACCGAGTAAATTCAATGAATATTGAATGATAAACGTGCATGTTGTTAGTTGATCATGCACGGGCTTTTTAATGGCAATATAATTTTAGACATAGTACATTTAAATTACTAATCTATAACACCTTTCCGAACCCTGCAGTAGATTAAATAAAAATAATGATTTAATAGTGCTTGTAAACAAGTCTATTTGAATAAAGACGACTCGAATTTGAATTATCATGTTTGGAATCGTCGTATTGTTGTTGCGGCTCAAAATGTAATACCAATAACATTTTTTTTCGGTGGTGTTCAGTAACACGCATCTTACTATAACGTAATGAGTTTAGTTGACTCGAGTATAATTTACTCGATTACAAAGTTAGCTATTCCATAATACCGCAGGTAACTCAATAATAACTACTACAAACTACCCAAACCTTTGCGTGTAAACTAAAATGCAATTAAAATAGTTGCAAGCATTGTTGTTGAAGCTCGCTGTGCATTAACTCCATTTGTATAGATAGTTATTAATATATTTAATTTCCTTACCGTGCACGCTATGAATAACACAAAATTTTACATGGATATAGATGGAACTCCATAAAGAAATAACATGACAAACCGATGAACTTCGGCGTATTTCTTATATATAGTAGATTAAAAATCGCTACATTGACTGAAAAACATATTTATTTGGGACAAGTTCGCTTATGTATGATTTTTTTCAATAGAATTTAATGAAAATGTGAAAAAAGAAATAATCGACTTGATCATAAGACACCCGCTGATGTCTAATTGTATTACATTAATTGATTGAATGATTCAATTTGTTAATAATTTCAATTCTAATTTCTGCGATATTTAAAAAAAAATGGTTTCCTTTTCATTAAGTTTAAATGAACCTTTCTGTATTTCTTTTACGCATTAAATTCCTATCTACAACATAGAAATGAATTTTATATACTGTAAGTTATAGTACGAAGTGAGAAACAATAGTTGACGATTTGGCAGTTCGTTTAATTTTTTTATTGTATACATCATAATACCTACCGTATAAGAATCGAAACATGGTCTTACATGGTTGGACGTATGCAGAAGCCGTCAAGTGGCTCAGCGAACTACGGAGAGGGCTATGCTCGGAGTTTCTTTGCGTGATAGAATTCAAAATGAGGATATCCGCAGAAGAATAAACAAGCTGAAGTGTCAATGAGGTCACATAGCTTGAAGAACCGACAACCGACGGGAAGAAAGGTTCTTGAGTGGCGACTCCGTACAATAAACGTAGTGTAGGACGACCCCCTACGAAATGAAGTGCCGACCTCAAATGCATTGCAAGGAATCGGTGGATGCAAGTTTATTTATAAAAATATCGTATTTATATTGTGTACTGTGGCAGTGAATATGAGTATTAAGTTTTTCAAAATACAATAAAAGTAAAACAGTCCTATAGATGTACTCTCATCTTTATTATATATATTTATAATCATACATAGAATATATATTTACATTATCTTACTATATAATAAAATTGTAATTAGACGATGTCTGTTCATAAAAGATATTTAAGAAAAATTAATATGAGGGATCTTAATAAGACCAATATATGCCTAAATTTGTAAAATTTTTGCCTATTTGTATGTTTATTCCAACATCACGTAAAAACGACAGTACTAAAATGGATACTTATGGATTAATGGAGCTTAGTTTTTAGTTTAAAACCACTAGTTTTATCACAATTGAAGTCGATTAATGTGTTGATAATAATATTTAATTATTGTTATTCCATGTTATATATTAATTATAATAACAATACTACAATTATTATAATCATAGTATTTTTAATATTAAATTTGTGAATTACAAAATCAGATTTCGCTATAATATACCTAGTTGACAAAGTACATTCGGCAGTATGACTTCAGCAAACAAACTCAAATTACCTAGATACTACGAGTGACCTCGTAAAATATTTTATCACCACACTTTGCCTGTAAAAATATCCCATTAGATGGTCAATTTGCGAGCAATAATTTTCACATAGAAATCGATTTTTAATGCCCCAAGGCAAACACTGCGTGTCGGGCGGTCCCTTTGAAATCTACAAAAGAAAGAGCACAAAGGAGCCGAACTAAGATTTGTCAGGATGTATTGTTATTTTCTATGAACCACAGTTGGTGCTATGAATGCTTTCAAAAAGTTTCCATAATTGTACATTTA